GGAATGGTATTTTGGCTAACCAACAGTGGCTGAAAAGTAAATAAAGAGATAAGACATAAGCTAGACTTTCAAAAAAATCTGGCAGAGAGTGGCAGTCTTTGGAAAGTTCAAGTCACAATTTTATGAGAAGTTTGTGTGGATAAAGCACTATAAAATGTTTTGATCACTCCTCTGTGGTGTTGCATTTTAAACCCTCAGCAAGTTTGCTGACGACACCAAGCTGTGTGGTGCAGTCGACACGCCAGAGGGAAGGGATGCCACCAGAGGGAAGGGATGCCACCAGAGGGATCTTGACAGGCTGGAGAGGTGGGCCCGTGCAAACTCATGAAGTTCAACAGAGCCAAGTGCAAGGTCCTGCACCTGGGTTGGGGCGATCCCAAGCACAAATACAGGCTGGGTGAGGAGTGGATTGAGAGCAGCCCTGTGGAAAAGGGCTTGGGGGTACTGGTGGATAAAAAACCTGATTATGAGCTGGCAACATGCACTTGCAGCCCAGAAGGCCAGTCACATCCTGGGCTGCATCAAAAGAAGCATGGCCAGCAGGTCAAGGGAGGTGATTCTCCCCCTCTTCTTTTCTCTAGTGAGACCCCACCTGGAGTGCTGTGCCCAGCTCTGGGGTACCCAGCAAAAGAAAGACATGGAGCTGTTAGAGGGCGTCCAGAGGAGGGCCATGAAGATGATACTCAGAGCTCGTCTCCTAGGAGGACAGGCTGAGAGAGGTGGGGTTGTTCAGCCTAGAGGAAAGAAGGCTCCAGGGAGACCTCATAGTGGCCTTCCAGTACCTAAAGGGGGTCTACAGGAAGGCTGGGGAGGGACTCTTTATCAGGGAGTGTAGTGATAGGACATGGGGAAATGTTTTCAAACTGAAACGGGGTAGATTTGGATTAGATATTAGGAAGAAGTTCTTTACTGTGAGGATGGTGAGGCACTGGCACAGGCTGCCCAGAGAAGCTGTGGCTGCCCCCGCCCTGGCAGGGTTCAAGGCCAGGCTGGATGGGGCTTTGAGCAGCCTGGTCTGGTGGAAGGTGTCCCTGCCCATGGCAGGGGAGTTGGAACTAGATAATCTTTAAGGTTCCTTCCAACCTAAATCATCCTATGATTCTATGATTTTTGGGTTCTCTATTTAAGATCAACATCATGAATTTGAAGTAAATTTTCCGTGGGGCAGAAAAGGCTGTTTTTCTAGGACACGTAATTTTGAGCTTGAGATTAAAAGAAACTAGAACAAAAGGAACATGTCTTAAAAATGATTTCTTACATAATTTTATAGTTTCTTGAAATGTTCTGAAGTTCCAGGATATTTAACATCATTTAAAAATCACAGGAAGAACGTGGTTGGAAGCATTCGTAGAAAAATTTCTAGGTAAAACATATCTGTAAACAAATATCATGCTAGTTAAATTAATTGCCAGCAAATGACTATTGAAAGATCCTCTGCTTCCCAAAACCTAGGAAATTGAAATTATGCTCAACGGCTTTCTTTTTCCTTTCTAAAGGAGATTTCTGAATTGGCCCTGTGTATTCCAGTGTACTCGATTTTAACAATTCTGACTGTGACACTTTTTAAAGTCAACAATGAAATGATGCTATTTACTGCTCTTTCTCTGACTTTCTTGAAGGTGTGAGCATAAACTCTTTAAGACATTGACTGTTTTATTACCCAGCAGTAAAGCATCAAATGTGTTGGTGAGAGAAAAAAAATTATACATGGCTGTAATCTGTTTCACAACAGACTTGTAATTGCTTTTGACACTAATGCTTGGACAATATTTGTTTATTTTGTCCTTGTTTTTGCCATCAGGTTTAACTTGTGAATTGTGGAATGAAGCAGTTATCTGGCCAGTTTTCTTTTTTGTGAAGAATATTCCTGTATGCAGCAGTTGGAGAGGTACACAGAGAGCAGGAGGCGTAGAGTTACTGGCAGTGCAGTGAATAGCCAGTGTTATTTTTCTCTTATCTTAATCTTTGAAACAGTTACAATTTACCTACTCTGTGTATGCATTAGATGAAATTGGTAGGAAAATAAAGCAAGTAAGAGTAATATCCTGGGTTTTATCAAATTGTATGTTTTGAAACATATTTTTTTAACTAGGCCTCTTTTTGTCAGTTAACTTTCCCCCCAGTTAGAGTGAGTAAAAGTTAATGGCTGCTTTGCACTACAGTTATGTAGCACATTTTCTTTCTCTGAGGGTTCCTTTTCCTCTGAGAGTTTTGCTGCTTTTTTATGAGCAATGAATGTACCTTTGGAACAGATACAGTGGTGACTTGTGGCTGCCCCCTCCCTGGAAGTGCTCAAGGCCAGGCTGGATGGGGCTTTGAGCAGCCTGGTCTAGTGGAAGGTGTCCCTGCCCATGGCAGGGGGTTGGAAATAGATGGTCTTTAAGACCCCTTCCAAATCAAACCATTCTAGGACTCTGTGACTTAAGCAATTTGAGAGAGCAGGGCATTTGAAAGTGTGAAGCATGGCTACCTCTTTGGTTTTTGTTAGTTGTCTCAAGCTTTTAAAGACTAGTATTTGAAGATAACAGTAAGTCTCCAGTTCCAGGTAAAACTTTAAGAACATTGCAACCTTCATTTGAGGTTATGATGTTGCAAATGCAGTTCTGTCAGCAAATTCTCACCCTCATGTGTTCTCATCACCCTAAAAACATCTTTGAGATAAGAGTATCTGTATGCTTTTAGTTTATTGGGGTATTTGCATTTGGTGCGGGCTTTTTGGTGGTGGCTGTTGTGTGGGGTTTGGGTTTTTGTTGGTTTGTTTTTGGGTTTTTTTGGGGTTTTTTGTTGTTTTTTTTTTTTTTTTTTTTGTAGTGGTGTTTTTGAGTGGCATTCAGGGCAGACTCTAAAGCTTTCTACATTTTGGGTTTGAAATAACCGTAGGTTTTATAATTTTCTTTTTGTACAATGTATGTTATAGGTTTTAAACAATCTTTGTCCTCATTTAAAGTCACTGTTATCTAGTGAAACATGTTCATTATACTACTGTTATAACAGAAAACTTCTAATGAGGCTTTAAATCTGATCATTGTTTTCAGTAAGTAAGAAGTTTTATGTCAATATTTAAGAATTGTTTGTATGCCTTATGATAACTATATAAGGAGTTTTAGGTATTACTACCAGTATTGATGTGGAGTCTTATCTAAGACAATATTGGTAAACATTTAAGGGAAATCATTATAGACTCAGAATGTTTCAAATCTATGTCTGCTCAAAAGAATAGTATCCATAAAAACATATTCTCAAAAGAATAATGTTTGGACTAAGAGTTATTGTTGCTCTTATTTACTCCAAAAATATTTTTTTTCCCCATTACTTCTGTGAAGTACTTGATGAGTGTGATTTCTGTAACACCTCCTTAGCATAAAGGAAGAGGGATTACATCTTCATATTCATCACAGCTTCATGAACAGAATTTTTCATTAAATGTTGTCAGAATAGACTATTGTTTTGAAACATTGCCCTATTGTGAAAGAGGACTATTTAAAAATAGTATTGCTTTGCCGAAAAGATCTTTTTCCTATGTTTATTCAGTTATCTTGGCAACTATAGCAACAGATGTACTCATAGTGAGGAATACCTCATTAGCATAGCTGAAAGAGCAAGCTGGGTTTCTTTTAAATCAGTGACAAATGTCTTGACAGGGCTTACCAGCTCTGCAGCACAGCAAGGTCTGCAAGGAGACAAGGAATTCCTTCTAGATTTTAAGTCTGCTTATGTGCAGATTGACTCAGCATATCCATCAGTCCATCTCCAGAGATGGTGGCAGCTGAATGGATGCTAAAGGAGTTACAAATGGGACCTGCCTAGGTAGATCTTTTCCCTGTGTTTAATTAGCCGTTTTTCTTTTTTTTTTTTTTCTTTTTTCCCCAAGAACAGCAGGATCCTTTCATCTTTAGAAAAGATCTAACAGGATCCTTCCTTTCTTGACTAGAAGTCCTTAAAGATTTACACACTTCAGTAGTCTCAGACAAGCTTGTGCTTTCTTAAGCATGGGTTTCTTCCCTACCTCCAGTTCTTATATTTCACTGACAGAAGATACAGCTTCTCAGGTCACCCCCAAGGCTTGTTATTTTCGAAGAGAGATCAATGGACATAGCAGTCTGTGCCCACAGATAAGATGCCTCTCTGATTGCACCAGCATATTCAAGACTTAAAAAGTGGAAAACCTATGCCACTG